TATTCTGACTGAATACTGTGTGGAGAAAGTTATGTGTGTCAGCTTCACACACAAGTTCTCCTCAATAAATTTCAAACATACACTACATAAACCAGAGATAAATTATTTGCCCAGAGCCACTAAGCTAAATCAGAGCGCTTCGTAGAGAAGCTAAGTGTGCTGATCCCAGTCCAGTGTTTGGTTGTCTCCTTCCCAAACTCTTCAGCTGAGATGTTCAATCAGCATTTCTGCATTTGCACACAAATGTATTCCCTCCCTGCATGACTCCTACACACAGAGTGCCCTCCAGGAAACAACATGAGAAAGCACGGGTTCAGCCAAACCTAAGTCTGCTAGGTCTAAAAGCTGTCAACATACTTACTGCTCTTTCCTTTATGGATCCTGTCCCCCTCAAACTGTTAGATCAATACCTTAGGAGCAAACAGAGGGCTCCGTTTTACATTAGTGGGGGGTGGTGGTGGGAAGAAAAGGAAAAAAAAAAAAAATGTGTGCAGAAGCCAACAGAGTAGAAAATCACTTTCATAAACAGAAAGCATGGGAATGCTCAATAACCTTAGTGACAGTAATGCTGGGGAGGGAATGAGAGGTCTCAGAGATTACCTCAGGGCTTGAAGGTCCTTACCATTTGCTTTCTGAACAAAGAGGAATTAAAGCAGGCACATTCACAGGGACTTGCTGGGTTTGTTAAAGCATTGTGATAACTACACTGGAAAGCTTTTTAGAAGGGGCTCCTCTGCAAACACATGCTTTTGTTCCCTTGTTCAGACCTGAGGTAGAGAAATGAAAATGCAGAAGAGTAAATGAATTATCTTTTTGTCTTAAAAGTTTTCAATTAAAAGATTTTTTTTCCTTTTGTGCTTCTGAAGTTCATTTTAAAACTGACAACAAAATCTGAAACACAGTCTAATGTATTCTTTATGTCCTTTCAGGTTTGGGGAACAAATGAAATACATGTTGCTGTCCACGATTCCTTTTTAGAAATAGTTAAAGACCTTTACTCCTTGCCTTGCTCTTCTGTTTAGGAACAGGTACAAATAATTACTTTAGATGTACAGACTTAATGGCTAAAGATAACAGAAGTGATTTGCCTTTGACAGCAAAATCCATTTCTCCAGGGAATGGTATCTTCAGCTTGCATTAAGATTAAGCAAAACTAAAACAACCAATTAGGAGTTTGCCAAATAAGTTTGTTTATTAAGAATTCATTTCATGTGTTAAAACTATCTAATGTATTAAGGCCTTTCTACGTCTTTAATCTGGGAAGCACTTATAACTACTGATAGTAGATTTGTTTGCATGCATTTGCATAAGGCTTTATTAATTACATCTAGCTGGCATCCAGAGATGTCTGTGCAAAAATAGTAGTTATCTGGGTTACAAAAATTCTGTAATATTTAATTTGAGACCTTTTGCTTTTTTTTCTTTTCTCAAGAAATAGTAGTTTTCATATCAGATGATTAGAATAATGGGATGGTATTGTAATATGGAAATAAATTTTTATTAGAGAGTAATTCTAGAATTCAAAATTTCCCAACTGGTTTTTTTTTATTTGAATACATGAAATGTTATGCAAATATACACCCTCCAAGCATACACAGGTTTCAGAAGAAACAATGACACTTCACAGGCTTAAAGTAAAATAGAGAAAATAGTTGTCAAAACCAAATGAGATCTGGAAATTTAAATGCTGTTAGATACAATGTAAGTTCATTATTGACTCAGTACTATTTTATTGCATAACATCTTGTCATGCAACATCTTATTTTACACACCAGACTAAAACAAATAAAAAAATGCAATGCAAAATACAGTCTATTTCTCTGAGATATGCAGACTTCCAGATTGAAGCCATCATTTTTCATGCTAATGATAAGCTTATAGTCATGCATTTGGAAGAGTTTGGGTTGCTTACCTAAAAATACAGCAATATATTGGCAGATGTCTTATTCTCAAGCATGTGTATTTCCTTAAGTTCTTGATAGTTTGTTCTGTGGCAAATTCATCATTATTTAGAAGTACATGGTGAATTGGTATGTTCAAAACTACAGAAGATATATGTTTATCAAATTAACAACTAAGAAGCAATCGATTAAGAAATATTAAAGCTATACCTTTTTTCTCCATTTTGATTTTCTGTAAAAATCAACACAGCTACCACATACATTGGTAAGGTTTATGCAGAATTTAGGATGTACGAGGTGAGACGTAAGTCAGATCTACTGTTGATCTGTTAGGGAGAGTTCAAAGACTAGGTTAGAGGTGGGACAATCCACAGGTCTTCCCCATTTCGTATGTCTGCTTTGTTGGAGATTACATCAAGATGTTCTTCTGCCAGAATCTTTACCTGTCTGTCTTTATTTATCTTCTTCTTACTCTGTTATATATAAACACTCTTTTCAATATACACTGAATTCATGTTTATAGAGCTTCATTGAGGAGAGCAGGGCCACCATGCTGCCTCCGTTCCACCCAGCTAGCTGGAGAAGAACCAGTGGTTACAAACCGTTACTGCGTGAAGCAGCTGCTTTTATTGTTTTTCAATAAAATCCCCCTTATGGTGAATTTATTTGAAGGTGGCCATAAGGGAATCAGGGCTACAACAGCTCATTTCTTTTGACACTGAAGCATTTCCAATAGCTTTCAGTAACTGGTTGAGAGAAGGATCTCTGCTATCCTGGTTTGATCTATGTGATACTGCTACTACTTGATTATTACATACTTAGTGTTTTGTTCCCAGTTTGCCACACTAACTCACAGAAAGATTGTTTACACTCCTTTTTCAAAATTCTCAGGCCTTTTTTTAGAGTGTTGTAAAATAGGTGTGAATTTCGGTCCTTATCAGCAAAGTAATACCTGAATTGCAGAATGGTCTGAGATCAAGATTATACCAAACACTTAAGAAGAGTTTGGAAAAAAGTTCATCCAATAATAAAAAAACATGTAAAAGTATAAAACCATACAAATAAATATAAAGCCTTTCTTGCATCTTTTGGAAATTTTCATAATGCTATGTGGACAAAATATCATTACTCATTCAGTACATAATCATCTTAAAAAGTAAAGCATATACTTTTTTTTTTTTTTTTTAACTGCCTCCACTCTTCAAAGGTTGCCTCTTGGGTTCATAAGAAAATTTAGATTGGAAAAGACCTCAGAAGGTCTTTAATCCCACCTCCTGCTCAAAATAGCCTGAGATCAAACCAAGCTACTGAGGGCTTTGTTGGGTCTGGTCTTGAAAACCTCCAAAGATGGAGACTGCATAACTTTCCTAAGGAATCTGTTCCAATGCTTCAGTGTCCTCAGCATGAAGAAATTTTTCCTTACATGCAGCCTGAAGTTTTTTTCAGGTAATGCCCATTTTCTCTCTTGCACACAAGAGCAAGATGTCTTGGGGTAGTAGCTCTACAGTACTAGATACAATACAGATATTTCCAGGATTAATTTATGTCAGACACTGTGGATCATCCCATCTCTTATTTCAAGGCATTTCCAATCCTTCTATATAGCTTATTGCAGGAGAAGGTAGATATCCGCTGGTCTCCTACACCAACATAGCTTCTGGGAGGGTCAGGATATGACTCAGACTTAAAATAAAGGCCAAAGGGTCTGTTCTCATTTATGCTGAATCTGCCAGGGATCTACATAGAGTCTGGAATCACACTACTGAAACCCTTGAGCTCACCAGCTTTTGGCTTGGGCATTTGTCTCCATTTTCATCACTTCCTGGCCACTGCAGCTTTCCAGAGAGCTCCAAGGAGAAAATGACATAACCTTATGCTGAGTTTCTCTTGCTTGGAAGATGGACATGCCTAATTCATTCTCCCTTTTTCACTCCTGTGTTTTTGTGAATGAGGCTTTGAAGAGGAATGACATTCACACATGTAACATATCTTCCCAAAAAAAGATTTTATTGTTCTTACCGGGTTTAATCAATCATAGAATGCAAGTGCTTTATGTCAATAGTATAAACTGAGGGCACTTCAACGCAATAAAATGTTAAGATCTTATAAATATTGCCTGTACCAAATATCTGGCTGGTGAATGTGGTTGCCAACAAGTTGAAAATCTAATACTTATTAGCATGTTTGGTAGCTCTGTATAGAACCTCTTTGTCTTTTGAAAGTCCATTTTTAATAAACACAGCAATTGAACTTCTGCTTTTAGATGATTTAATATGAATCGCTTTTATTGTTAGTTAAATCAATGTTAAATGATCTTTTTCTATTTTTTTTTCTGTTTCACTTCTTGCGGTGTTTTATGTTTGCTTTGAAACCTCACCAATAAGGCAAGCAATGTAAACTAGGTATTTATAATAGTTACTATCCATGCCTTGATTTGACACCACCACAATAAAATAGAAGAATTTGACTAAAACTTTGACTTCCCTTTCCCTTGAGGGAAATCTCAGGTTTTTATGAGATGATAAAGATGATCTTTTTTCTCAGATCTCATCTGAGATTTTATGAAGATCATCTTTTCTTCATTTTTTGGGCAGCTGAGGTTCTTCATTTGACACAAACAGTGAACTAAGCAAATAATTGTATTTGTAGACCAACAATGGGTTCCCCAAATGCATTTATCCAGGTAAAGAACTGAAACAACAAGGTCTACCTGCAACGCAATACTACAGAATTCAAGGAAACTGATTTATTTATTTATCGAGTCTGTCTGAACTGAAATCTTGGAACTCTTTATAACTTTTTTCTGAAAATGATTTGTGTTTTCACTTATGTGAGTGTAAATCAGGAAGTCAAAATGGTTGGTTTAAATTAGGAGTGAGAAGAAAATCAGAAGTAGAAAATTGCCAGATGGCAGCGTCATGCCTGGAGAAATGCAGTGTTACTGTTATTTATATTTAACTTCATGCTAAATAATTTCCTTAACTCTTCTCTGAAGGGCAGGGTTTAGAAGTTATTCAAGGAGCAAACAAAATTCAAAACAATTCAGTATTTCCATGTACAAATTGTTCAGGCTGCAATGCGCATACCCTGTGGAAGAATGGGTCCCTGGATCTTTGCATCCAGTTTGTCATCTCGTTCTGTACAGAGACATTTCTTCCAGAGAAACTGGTCCAAAAATTCACTTTTCAATCGTTTAACCATTGAATTTCTTATTTTAGGAAAAGCTTATTTGTATCTATGTAAATTATAGTCCTACTGGCTACAATGGTATTTTTCTGGCTTTTGAAATATAGAGTGAGGCAACCAGGTCAGCTATTTTTGGTCCATCTTTTATTTAGCATCTGTCCATGTTTAGGAATTGTTAGGGACTGTAACATCAATACGTGAAACAATTGGAGAACACTAAATTGTTTGATTTGCTCCACGTAATGCATGTAAAGTGATTTGTTATTTTGACTGTAGGCCAGGATGTCCTTTTGGACATCCTTGCCTTTTTTTAATGCATTTAAAATAGTCGTGGTAAAATGTCCTCTGAAAGTTGATTAGAAATCATTTCACTTGGCCAAACAAATAAGAGATACCTTAAATGTTGAAATACTTTAAGTAGGAATATCTAAAGTATAGAAGTAAAAACACCTTGACAATTTTAGTGACTCAATTTGGAAAACCCTCAGAAATTTAAGATCCTAAAAGTAAGCCTAAGTGGACATTTTTTCTTAAGGCATGATAATTTAGACTGCCAAGTTTGGCAGCTGGAATGCTTTATTAAACTGAACTGAAAAACAGAAGGGGGAATAAAAGTGGTTCAATTCTGTATTTGTTGGTTCATAACTTAATTAATAGCTTCATACCCTCAACTGGGAAACCTACTTCAACTGCAGGAATTTGTCTCGGCCCAGCTATGCACATGTGTTTGCATCCATTCCAGAAAACCAGTAGGCTAGCATTCTCTTGGGCTGGTAGACACAGTTCCTATAAACTACAACATGACAAACATCTGGATCATTCACTGGAGACAGCCCTGCTAGTATAACAGGCAGTTGTG